AGGGGATCCTGAAAGCTTTATGCTAGCCACATCATTAAGATTGGCTCTACTCGGAGGAAGCAGCTCCTCTCCGGTTGTATTTTGAGTGCATTTCGACCTGAGGAGCTCATCATCTGACACTGTATCAAACAATGTTTGAGGGCTATTCATAAAATTTCCAGTAATATGTAACTGTTATTCATAAGGTTTTCACTGGCCAACTCTTTAAGAAGTGGATGACCTCTTCCTTCTTCTCAATCATTCTTAGTCTGGAAGCTCTGCTGAAAGCTGTCCACCATGAGTAACCCTGCTGGGATTTGAAACACTGGTGGCATAGTCTCCAGCCTCACAGCAACACTCAAGCACCACAGTATGACAAATTGACAGACAGGTTTGTCTCCCTTAGAGCTCTCGTGGTGTAGGGCCTAAGGCATTTGACTGCTAACCAGAAGGCTGGAGGTTCAAACCCGCCAGCCACTCCTCGGAAGGAAGGTTGGTCAATCTACTTCCATAGTGAAACTGCTTTGGAAACCCAGGGAGGGGTCGCTATGAGTAGATCCGACTCCACAGCAGTGAGTATGGCTCCCTTAGTTGTTCCAAACTGCTCTGCTCATTTCCTTGTCTCCTCTGCCTTGCTTGCTTACTTGGCTTGCCCCTGAGGTGCAAACACCTGCCTTCCACTGCTCCTGGGCTGACTTACCACAGCCTACCTCCACACACACAAACACCCACCTTCTTCTTCTCCTGGGTGGTGCTGGCTTATTGAGGCCTGCCTCCACACACACAAACTCCAGCCTTCTGCTCTCAGGATTGCCTTACCATGGCCTCTTAATACTAAAAGAGAAGTAGGAAGTTGAGGGTGTTATAAGTAGTTCATTATGACTGAAGCTTAGGGTACAGTGAAGGTGGGTGAGAATATCAAGAGATGAGGCTGGAGATGTAAACAGAGGTCAGATCATAAAAAGATTTTTTAAAAAAAATTTTTATTGTGATTTGGGTGAAAGTTTACAGAGCAAACTCACTTATCATACAGCAGCTGACATATACTTTGTCTCATGGCATGACTGCAATTTCCCACAATGCAACAGCTCGCCTCCCACTTATTCCCCATAGTTGCCTCTTCCTTGTGTCCTTCTCTCCCATGCATTTCTGCCCCTCAAGCTGTCTCCTTGTGCATATACAGCCCTTCTGTTTCTCCCATGATTGTTTTCTCCAAGGAGTGCATCTTGTTGTTGTTGTTGTTGTTATGTGCTGTTGAGTCGG